CAGCCCAGCCCTTGTGCAGGCAGGGTTTTCTTTCAGGCAGGGATTATTAATTTTTTTTTTTTTTCAGGCAAGGATTTTTTTTTTTTTTCAGGCCCGGATTTTTTTTTTTTTTCAGGCACGGATCTTTTACAGGCAGGGGTTTTCAGCAGTCCCGTCCATGTGTGTTGCAACACAGCGGGTTCTTCACCTTCGGTCTTGAAGCTGCTCGGTTTTATCCCCCGTCCCCAACCCCCAAATCAACCCCTAAAGCAGGGATTTGCAAGCTTGGCGGAGGTGGCAGCAGGTCCGGGGGGGGGGCCTCTGGTGCCACCAGAAAGCCAGCTGGCATCGGGAAGGGGAATTGCTAGAGAGGGTCGCAAAGGAAAAGGGGCAGGGGCTGCGTATCCCAAAATGCCAGGCTCCCCTGTGCAATTACAGTGAGGCGATGCTTCTCACCGCAAGGCAAAGCAAAGGTGTCTGGCCCAGAGCTCGGTGCTGAAGAAACCTGGAATAGGTGGGGTGAACCAGCCCCAGGTGTGCAGGGAGAGCTCAGGGCTTTGGGCTCCTCTCCAGCCCTGGGCAGGGAAGCGAGGGAAGGGATATCACCCGTTTCAAGTTTCAGAGGCCTTTGGGAGCTTCCTGCCCGGCTGCAGTTTGTCCTTGTATAAAGCACAAAGCCAGGCACTAGCAGGGGACAACCTGGCCAAGACGACTGATGCACACGGAGAAGGGATAGAGGCAGGGACTCGGGCGCAGCTGCCAGCTACACGGGCTCCCGGGACACTTTCTGCAGCCCTCCAGAGCCGCTCCCATGCCATTTTTGGTATCCCAGGAACGCCAACACAATTGACCATATCTTCTTTCATGCTGCTAAAGCCCACTTCATCCCCATAAAACCCTCGGTGCCATCGCAGCACCGGGCAGTAATAAAGGGAAGTAAAGCAGCTATGCTGAGTTTTTTGTCCTAGGTCTACTGCTTGCCTCTCTCTGGCTTTAAAAAAAAAAAGGCTCTGTGCCTCAGTTTCCCCACCTGAGAAATGGGCGAAGGACAAAGGAAAGGGGGGGTGTTTAGTGAGCATGGTGTCCAAGAGGTCATGGGAAGGCAGCACCGTGCTGATCCTCCTCAGATCAAGTGCTGGAGACCCAGGTCTGCCCACAGTGACTTCCAGGGAAGGGCAGCTGCCCTTCCTCACCATTCCCAGGGCCTGGCCCCTACCTTATTGCGCTTCTCACTGGCGTTCGAACGTGGCTGCAGGCTTCCTGAGGAGCCGGTGCTGCTCTGCGGTGGGAAGGTGCCTCCATCCAGCTGGGGCTGCAGGGGGAGAAAGCAGGAGATGAAGCCATGGGGGTTTAGTCCTTGCCTAGGTTTCCCAGATCCGAGCATCCGCCTCCTGGCACGGGATGGTGGGGGAAGCATCCTCCCTCCTCCCAGTGTCAAGCAGACAGCGCAGCTCCCCTGGAGAAGCAGAGGATCCGGGGTGCACGGAATTGCATCCCGGGGACCCACCCACCCTGTGCTTGCCAGTTTTATGCCTGGTGGGATCCCTATGAGCTCTGGCTCCTGCCCTACTCACAAGGTAAATGAGAAGCCTCTTGTTCCCCCAGTTGCTTTCCAATGGCTTCTCTGGATTGTTTGTGTCTCGAGTGTGCTCAGGACCCTTCCACTCATCCTCCAGCCGCTGTGCTGGACTCTCAGGCCTTTTCCAGCTGTCATCCGGCTGTAGCCCTACATCCAGACATCTAGTGGGGCTTTTCCAGTCCCTTTCCAGCTGGCGCATCAAGTCGGCATGGCACACTGGCCTCTGTTGGCGCTTCCAGTTCTTTTCCCACACCTGCGCTTGGTGGGCATCCCCCCGACCCCTGCAGTCCTGCTCCAGCGGTCGTGTTGGGCTCACAGGGCGCAGGGGCTTGCCTTGACCTTTCCAGTCATTGCCGGTGCCCTTCCCGGGGTGGGAGGGCTGCAGCTTTTCCTGGAGGCTCTGCCAGCCGCATTCGGATGGCTTCCCGGGCCCCCCAGGGTGCAGCGGCTTGCCCGGCTTCACCCGTTGCCTCTCTGCCCCCCGCACTGGGCCGGGAGGGGAGATCTCCTTCTGGCTTCTCCACGTGCTCTCCGTACATCTCCCGGGACTGAGGGACCGTGGCGGTGGCCCTAGCCGGCTCAGCCTGCTGTTATCCGAGCCTTTCCCAGGGCCCGCAGGGTGCAGGGAGTCCCCTCGGCTCTTCCTTTCTGGGGCTTGCCCTGTACCCCCAGCCTGCCAGGTGGCTCGACCCCTCTCCGAGTTTTGGGGGCGGCCAGGCTCCCCTCGGCTCCTCCAGCTTTTTTCTGAGTGCCAGGGAGGGCTTGTGGGCTCCCCTGCCCTCCTCTCTGACCGGTGGGACAGACTTGCGGAACGTGGGCTCCGGCTGCCTTTCTCCAGCAGCCAGCCGGGGCTGGCAGGGCGCTGGGGATCTCCCCGGTTCCTGCTGGCCTTCTCGGGGTGTCGAGTCAGGCTGGGGGAATGGAGGGGCTCCTTGGGGTCTCTGCTGTGCTGCTCGAGGTGCCAGGAGAGCCGCTGACCCTAGGGACATGGGGGAGAGAGAGCAGAGAGTCCTCTTTAAAAAAAAAAAATAAATGCCGATGAGCGGGAACAAGATGGGATTAGGGCTGGGAGACAATTTGGTTTAAATAGTTCCCCAGACGGCAATTGCACCCCTGTGCATGGAGCCAGCCTGTACTGAAGAGAAGCCTCTTGCACCCAAAGGGTGAAAGGGCTGCTGCCATTTAAGAGCCAAGAGTCCCAGTCCATGGCAGGGGGAGTGCTGGGAATAGAGGGAAGGGGAAGCAGGGGACTGGAAGAGAGAAACACATGGCAGAAATAGAGGAAAACGTGGCAGGAAAAAGCAACGCAGCTTGGGGAGTTGGGATGGGGTCCTGCCACGCAGCCAAGCCTCACCTCCCTGGGCAGGCTGGGGCTGGACTGCCTCTGGACTAGGTGGCCTTTGCTGGGTGGCACTGGGGTCTTGCCATCGAGCCGGTCCACGCGGCCCTCCTCCAAGGCCTGGAAGGCCTCCAGGGTCTCCGATTTCCTACGGGCACACAGAGTTTGTCTGGCCGCTGCCAGGTTCAGCTCAGAGGCAGAGCCCCTGCGGACCCCACTCCATCTAAGCCTGACCCCACAGACCTCCCTCCGCCTGCCCCAGACACTGTGTGCGCCGTAGCCTCTCCCTGTCCCCGTGCCTTCAACCACCCCAGCTTTTGGGTCCTGCTGCCTCACCCGTGTCTTCTTCATACTATTCCTTAAGCTTCCCTCCCTCTGGTCCTTCACATCCCACCCACCTGCCCAGGATACTTCCCTGGTCCCCATTTACATCCCCTCCTGCCCTGTACCACCGATGCTGGAGCCACTCTTGCTTCTCCAGCCAGGACCCAACCAGCACTGGGTACTTCTTGGCATTCCCAGTCCGTTCCTGAGCGGCTCCTACAGTGGACCCTGGATCCCTGGGGAGCCACTGATGCTGGGAGTGGGGACCACCTCCGTCCTTCCCCTTTCCGTGGCTTGCCCTGCTTTGCGGCATGTCCTGCAGCTTCCAGGAGGTGGCTGTGAGGATGAGGAGGGTGGGCTGCTCCCTCCACCTCCAGCAGCTCAGCTTCACTCCACCTTTCCAACGGCCTCAGCTGCCTGCGTGCCGCAATGGGGGAGCATCCCAGGCCAGGAGGTGCTGAGCCTAAACCCAATCCTTGTTTTAAGGGAAATTTAAGCACAGCTGAAAGCTAAGCTTTGCCACCTAGCCCTGCTCTCTCCCTGAGGCACAGCGATTTGGAGGTGGGGGCCCCCCGGCAGCATAAGGGGGGGCAATCCCCCACCTCTGACCACCATGGAGACCCGTTGCTTCTCACCTGCGTTCGCAGCCAAATATCCTCTCCACCTCCACCCGGCCGGGGCTGAGCGTGCGGGAACCACAGCGGTCGACAGCATCCCGCTGGCCGAGGCGTTTGGGCTTGGGCAGGTCCGCCAGCACCGTGTACTCCTGCCTCTCCAGCCCGTGCCGTCCCTCCGTGCCCCCGCCACCGGGGTGCCCACGGGGCTCCCGAACCCGGGAGCCGGCAAGGTGCCCGCCGCCGGCCAACGGGTCACTGCAGGCCAGCGAGGAGCCGGTGGTGGCACGTGGCGGGGTGGATGCCCAGGGAGGGTCGGTTTTCCGGTGCTTCGGCCAGCTCTCCTCGGGCTTCTGGCTGGTGGGACGGCGGTCTGGGACGGGGAGAAGGCCGTTACTGGGGGAGGCACGAGCAACGCGGGATGCCACCACATCCACGGCAAAGCAGGTCTTCGGAGGAGAGCTAGAAACGGTCCAGGAGGGCAGAGATAAAACCCAGATTCCCTCCAAGCGGGGCGGGAGTGTTGGGATGCAGCACTGCGAGCCGAGGGCACGCCAAACCATGCAGACAGAGAACACCCGGGAGACCCACGGTTCATGGTCAGCACACACAGAGATGCCGTCTCATAGACTGTGGGCCTCATCCCTTTGCATGGTGGCCATGGAGGTGTTGAATGCCTCCCGGGATCAGAACTGGGTAAAGAGATGCTAAATCTAAATAGAGATCTGCCATGAACTTCAGAGACCCCCGGGTGGAAAGCAAACCAGAACTAGGATCTCACACGGGAGCAAACCAAGTGTACCTGCTTTCAGCGGGCAGATTTCTTTCCTAAAGCCCTGGGCCTCAGCTCTCACCCAGGATCCAGAGGGAACGGGCTGAGCCCACCTGGCTCTGTCTGCCTGCAGGGCTCGTGGCCGCATCTCCTCCTTGTGGCCTGTGTAGCTCATCATGTCCCGTTTGCCTGATCCCAAAGTGTTGTCCCACAACCGGGTCATTTCCCCGTCCTGGGAGACAAGATAGGGCAGATCTCTGCAATGGGGACTGGTGGCTTTTGTGGGCTGGAAGGAGGTAAGAGCATATATGAGAAGTTAGAGCCCGTTCAGCCCAAAGCTGCTGGTAAAAAGGAACCAGGAAAGGAGCTGGGTGAGCATAAGATGACCCCAGCCCAACAGCAATGGGCATGGCAAGAAACAACATAGGGAAGTCCGCATGGGGGAATCCAAGAGCAAATCTCATGTGCTCTTTAGGGGGAGAGCCTCATTTGTGGGGATTAAGGGTCTCAGCTGATCCCCCCTCACATCTCAGGACCTTCTGAATGTGCCCAGCAGAAGTGGTATTGAAGAGCTGAGGGGGCTGGTGAGAGCAAAATAACCCAGACCACAAAAGATCCCCATCTCACCCTGGCAAGCGTAGAGTTGGCTTCGGCACAGGCGCTGGGGTCGGTGCCGGTTTCTCTGTGCTCACCCTCAGCTCCAGGGCTGAGTGGGGGATATCCCCTGCTCTCGTGCCAGCTGTGGGTCAGGGAGAGAGGACAGCTGGTGGTCAGCACAGCCCGCAGAGCTCAGGGGTGGGTGGCAGTGCCAGCAGTCCAAGCCATACCGGCTTTCTCTCTACTGGATGGGCAGAGGCTGGCAGAGCCCATCCTGGGACCACTACCCTTGCTCTAGAGGCAGTGAGGAAGAAGACGACTCTTTTGGTGGCCCCCTGACCTCTCCTGGGACAGCCAAGAGGAATCCAGCTAGAGGGCATGGCGTGGAGGTTGCTCAGCCCTTTTTTCCCAGGCACTGGTGTGCAGAGCATCAGGGAGAAGGCATTTAATTTCCCCCTGCTTGGCTTCCTGCTCCCCCTCCTCCGTTCTTCCCACCAAGGGTGCTCGTTGGAGCAGCGCAGCTCCCGGCTGGTACTCACCGCTCCGTCCCCTCCACTGGCCCCACGCACACGTATACCTCGCACTGCGGGGTTAAAATACGGAGAGCATCCCAGGGCCCGCCTGGGTCTGCGTCGCTGCCGCCATCACGCCCTGCGACCTCCACGGCATGCTCCTGCGAGGAAGAAGGGGGTGCAATGGTGCAATCAGCGTGTTGAGGATGAGGAGGAAGGCTGCCGTTCGTAAACACCTGCTTCTTCTACCTCCTCCGAGAGCAGCCTGGCCTCTGGGGCTCTTGATGCCTCTCCCAGCTCACCGTTGAGATTTTTCTCCTACTTCAGGAGCCAGAGAGGCCCAGCACGCTCCTCTTTGATGCTGAACGCTGCAGGCATCCCAGAGACAGCGCGTGTGGATAAGGGCTCAGGGAAGCTGCCCCCCCGCCACATCAGAGTTGATGCTGCTGGCAGCCGCTCTCCCTCGCCACCCAGATAACCCGAGGGGAAGCAATGGAGCCAAGAGGGAGGGAGATTTTTGCAGAGAAGGCTGTAGCCCCAGCCCCTGCCTCTCTCTCTCTGTCAGGGCTTGCAGGCATCTCAGCATCCTCCCCAGCCCCGTTACCTGCGGGGCTTACGAGCAGCAGCGGGGGAGGCTCCAGGGAGCCGGCTGTCCACACCGCCTTCCCTCCAGCGTCTCGCCCGCACCAAGATTCGCTCAGAGGCGATGGCTCTGAGCAGATCGTGGGCGAAGGGCTGAGGTAACCTTAGAGGGCCCAGGGCCAGGGGGAGAGAGGGAGAGGGCAAGAAAGAGAGAGGGAGGCTCATTACTATTTAATCATCCCAGGCCAGTCGCTCCTGGAGGACAGCGAACAACACGAAACCCTCCGTGAACATGAAACCGGCTGTCACCCAGTCGGAGGCAGCCAAGCAGCTTTTGCGTCCGGCCCTGTGCCGAAGGACCATGTTGGATCAAGGTATCCAGAGCCCAAAATTCTGTGAGATTTATCCCCCTCCTGCTTCTCCCCCCTCCCTGAGACCAGCTCACTGCAGCTGCCCCAGGGACAGGACTCAGCCCTGGCCCTAAACCAACAGCCAGGGGCCACAGGGACAGCCACCAGGACAACATTTTAGGCAAGGCAGGATGTAAATGCTGGCAGGCATCAAGCAGAGATTAATCCAGGGCGGGTCCCTGCTCTGCCAGTCGCCCCTTCCCTCCTTGTAGCTTTGCATCTGCAACATCCCTGCTTTCCCTTCCAGGATCTATCAAGCCCCTGGTACCTGGTGTCCAGCTCTTCCCTGCTAAGGCAGCTCCCGGCTCTGACCTGGGCACGGTTAAATGATGGATTCCCATGCCTGGGAAGACTCTCTCCCCATGCAGCTTTTCCCCAAAGACATCTAGAAAGTCCGGCTGAGCCTTTGTCTTAGGGATTTCCATCTCTACAAAGGCACATGGAGTCCCAACATGGAACAAAGGGGCCCTTAATGAAGAATTCATAGCCTCCAGGTGGGATGGAGGAGCTCACCTGGATAGCATGCTGGTGAGCCCCTGCGGCTCGGAAACAGTGCTGGCACAGGCTCTTTGCAAATATGTTGGCTTCAAAGTTCATGCAGGGCACGTCATCTACTGAACCAGACATTGTCGATAGCAGGGACGAAGATCTGTGGCTGCTGGGCTGCTGGCAGGGGGCAGCCAGGAGGAAAAGGAGGAAAGAACAGCAGCAGAAGACCAGAGCTTAGAGTCCTCCAGCCTCAGGCTCCTGTGGAAGCAGGAATGTTATTCCCAGACTGAAGTTTGCTGCTCTCAGCTGGCAATATTGGAATCAAAGGGCATCCAGGTGCAAGGTGATCAGTATGATCCATATAATTATAGTTAATGAAAGGGTAGGCTCCAGCAGGGACCTCTTTTAGAAGAGGGCACTGCACTGCACCCTCAAATGACTGCTGACACCCCCCAATTTGGGAGTCCCCCTGGATAGAGGGAGTGATGCTCATGTCCTGCTATTTTGTTTGATGGAAGTTTTCTCCCTTCAAGCTCTCTTAAAAGGCACAAAAAGGAAACCTTTCTTCTTGACTATGTTGCTCATAAAGGGCTAGCTATAAGCAGCTTAGGAAATTTAGAAACCCACTGAGACTCTTCCTAAACTTGTTGATCCCACTAAAATTTCTGAGACCTATAGGACAGTCAATTGCAAAACTGTGAAGGGCAACAAGCATTTCTAGCACAACAGCTGGCCTCCACTCTTCTGTCCTGGCTTTTCACAAGCATCCTGCCCACCATCACCTCCTCTGTCCCACAGGCTTTGAGGGTGAGTCCTTGGATTTGAGGATGTGATCTGTGCTGGGAGGGCTCCGCTTAATTTGCCCGGAGGAGGCATCGACAGAGGTACAGGAAATCAGTGTGGGATGAGTCCAGCATCCCTGATGTGAACATGCCACTGCTCCCCTAAGCACAGACACGAGTCAGAGCAGCTGATCAAGGCTATGGCTGCTCCCCAAAACAACCAGGGCCAATTTTCAATGCTAAAACCAAGCTATAATTTTTGTTTGTCAGTGCGCTCATTTGCAATACAGCAAGTTGCACTACTGCTAACCTTGCAGCCTCCCTCCTTGCATTGGGGCGTTTTCTTGACTCGTTCACACAAAATGCCGGACAGGACCCTAACCACTCACCTGCCAGGGATGCAGCACGAAACACCCCGACATCACTGCCCACCCCTGCCCGTGGAGTGCCACCTGTGGCTGGAGCCCATGGCACCCCACTGCCTGATGGGCAAATCATCACTCCCCACATCCCTTGGGACCTACTACCAGGATAATGCTGTGATCCCCAAGGCCTCTCGCATGCAGCCAGCCAGCCACGCTCAGTGCTCCCAGTGCCTCCCAGTACCCCCAGTACCTCACCTTCCCCAAGGCTCCCAGCACCTCGCCGCCCGCCGAGCTCCTCCCTCAATGAAGCTCGCCGTGGGAACCGCGGGGAGCGAGCCCCGCCCCTTCCCCTCTCATTGGCTGCCACCGAGCACTCATTTAAATATCGCTCTCTAGACTGGCTGGCGGAGCCGCGGGGTTATGGCGCCCACGGGTGCGGGCACCCACGTGTCGGTGGCAGCGGGCGGGCGATGGACCCGACCCGGCCGGGCCGGGCTTGGTGGCCGCGGGGCTAGTGAAGGAGCGAGGGGGGGCTGCGGCTGGGGAGGGGGCACCGGCTCCTTCCCCCCCGCCTTGCGCCCTCATACCTCGGCCTCTTCCCTGCCCTTCTCCTCGGCTGCATCTCCCCCGGGACCACCCCACCGCCTGCCTCAGCGCTCCCCCGGAGGTTATCGCCCCAGGAGGTGGTTAACCCGAACCCTAAAAAGGTGCCAAAGCAGTGGACTCATTTGCAAGCACTGAGACAGCCAAACGTCACCATGTCCCCAGCACAGCTCCAACAGGAGGTCATCCCTACCCACAGCGCTCCCCAGAGAGGTTTGTCTAAGCCGGGCTTTACTTGCAGAGCACAAGCCCTGCTTGAACCTCGCTGTTCCTAGTGAAACATGCTTAACGTCCGTCTTCCATTGCTCCTGCTACGATTCAACTTCCTTCTCTTCCCGGTCCTGGTGAGCGTTAAAAAAAGTTTAATTTCACTTCTTGTTTACCCATTGCAAACCACTCTTCAAACCTGTCTTTCCTAGACAACCCCAGTTACTTGGCTCCATTACTCCCCAAAAGTTCTTGTCACTCTTGCAGTAACTTCTCTCCCCAGTTCATTTCTGGAATACAATGCTGGAAGCAGCAGTGGTACTGTACTGGCTACAGCCTTGAGCTTGATATGCTACTTAAGAGCAATAAATACAGCACACTAATTATCACACAGCTCATGCACATGCTGCAACCATGCCTCCTTTGTGTCGCACTCCTATTTTTCCCCAACTGTCTGACCTTTTTGGCTCCCGGACTGGTTTTGATCCTCTGTAATCCCAATTATATTTTTGTGCGCACGTGTGTGGAATCGCCGTCTAGCCAGTGAAAGCTACTGTGCATGGAAACCCCAGCGTGGCAGCCCATGTCAAAGCCTTGCATCTCTCCGTGTGAGCCCTCGGGCGCAAGCACGAGTAACGCGCAGGTGCCCGAGGTGACCCAGCTGCAGAGCCAAGCGTGAAAAGCCTGTGTGCAGGTCGTGCAAGGGGGAGCACACAGGGAACTGCTGGTCTCTGCTTTTCCTTTTCGGAGCAGCAGCTGCATTAGCACGTTGATTTTTGCAGGTACCTTATATTCGGAAGTGGCCTCCTCCTGAACAGCTGGAACTTGTTTGTGAGCAGCTGGGGGGTGGGAAAACCAAACAACAAAAACGCTCAAATCCATCCTGAAAACAAGGGGAAGCAGCAAACAAGAGTTTTAAGCCACAGTCTGATATGAACCGTGAAGTGTCTGGCAAACACTTAATGCGCTAACTTGTGTGTGGGAGCTCATATCCTTGATCCAATATATCCTGGGGTAGCCCGACTGCACACCCTGTGCACAACAAAGACAGCAGGCTAGGGCTGAGTCAGTAATTTACATTACAAAATAAAACTTTAATCAATCAAATGGAGAAATCAATAGTGCAGCGAACAATCCTGATGGTTAATGCTGTATAGGATTTAACAGTTCTGTTCTCAGTTTTTCCATGTGCTTTTTTTTTCCCCCCCATGTGAAAACACAACTTCCAGCAGGAACTGGAAGCTTTCAGAGCATGGAAGAGGCCGTTGGAGATTTCGGCTGACACTTGAGAAAGGCTCAGAAGTTATTAGGGTCAAGGAAACAGCAAACTAAAAGAGAGATTCTTCTAAATCACCTGGCAGCAAAGTAACAAACACCGAAGTGCTATTGAGGTCACTTTTAACATCCCATCAGGATTACAATGAGGTAATCCAGCACTATCCAACTACCATGCCAGGCTGTCTACAGGCTGCGGAAAGCAACCCAACCCACAGTTTTCACAAACACACAGACTGTAGATTTCCTTTACAGTGGCTATCCCAGCTCCAGAGCAAACTCCTGGGGTGTGGAAGTGCAAGTCACCTTCTGCCCACAGGCATAACGTCCCAGAGAGAAGGGAAAGCTGCTGTACAACCCAGACCGAGGGTGTCACGCTGTCCTCCAGCTTTGAGCTGCAGTCCCCTTGGTGTGGTACACCACTCCAAACAGAACTTCCCTCTCCTTCCCTCCTACATCTCTCTCAAACCCAACTGCAGAACAGCTCTAGAGCACGTAATTCCCAAACCAGAACAAGAAACACTTGGTGCTCCACACATGGCACCTCTTGGACACTTTGGATGAGATCCAGTGCAGCAACAGACTTTTGGCCTTGTCTCTGAGTTGCATTTTTACAGCTCTGAAACACCCAACACCCCGAGGTGAGAGAGGAAAGCCGGGTAAGGTCATGCGTTAAACCCCATGAGCTTTCTGGAGCGGCCTTTAAGGCAGCATATGAGAATGATTTTGGAGGTGAGGAACCACACACACTGCACTTTCACGATGTGACCGAGGTTATTCAGCATTAGTGCCTAAGAACTCAGCTCAGGATGGGACTCAGAGTCCAAGAACGCAAGGCACCAGTGAGCACATGGGATAATAGTGTCCACTTCCCCACCACTGACCTTCTTCAGAAGGGAGACGGAGGTGCAAAGGGACCCAATTCCTCACAAGCATACATGTCACCCAGTTCCCTCCAGAGGAAGATGCTCTAGCAGAAATTGCATAGCTGCTGTCAGTGTTGAGATCATACCCTCCTCCTCAACACACTGAAGAATTTCTTCATGTGTGCATGCTCCAAGAAATGATGGGGAGATACATCAGGCTGGTGCTGCTAGCTTTAGCAGCTGGTGGCCATCAGCATTGCTCTGATGTCCCTCCATGAAGCCTCAGGCACTGGTTTACTCTTTCCCTTCCCATTTCTGGCATGAGGAATCTATGTACTCGCCCATTGCTGAGTTGCCAATTTTCTGGTGTGGGTTTTGGCCACACAGGCCTTTTCTTTGTCATTTCCTTGCCAGTACACATGTGGCATGGGAGAAGACCTAGCTGACAGAGGCAGAATGGCTACCACCTCCTACAGATACGCCATGACAGAAGCCAGCACGCTGCTTAGGCTCACCTCCTCCTCAGAGGATTCACTCACGGTTTTGCCAGCAGTATTCCTCAACTCCAACCCTGCAAACCACCCCCACCTTCCTGCTGAAGGCATCCATGCTAAAAAACATATACTGAGGTCCAAAGAAGAAAGGCAATTAACTGCTGATGACTGCAGCAGCCCTGAGGTAAAGGGCAGCCTCTGCTGCTCCCATCCCAGAGAGGGCCACACACATACAGCAAGGGCATTAGGGCATTTCATACTCCTTTGTGCTATCGCAATTAAGATCAGCATATTCAGCAGACAACAGAATGAGCCATTCCGGCTCTGGCTGGCTCTGCGTTACCACAGAAATAGCTCCTAGCTATTCCATTTCCCAAGCACCAGTGGATTTCAATATCCTTTAAGCACCAGGAATCATCTCCCCTCTTTAAAGCTGGTACTGGTGTTTTCACAGTTGCTGTTATGCTTCAAGTAAGTCACAGATGTTTTTTTCTTAGCAAAATGACTTCATAAAGATTTATTCACAGTTACCAAATTTCACTTGGCACAGGTACCAAACAAAAAGTACCCCTGCATTCAGGTGTGGCACTGGAGAAGAAACACGTGAGACTAGAGGACACCATGTCTCCATGGAAAAAGGATTTACTGCACAGCAGAAATACCAGGGCATTGATGCACGAGCGGAAGCAGAGCTCTTCCAAGTCTCATAAACTGCCCTGACCATGTGCCTGTTGCACTCCACCCCAGATCCTCTCCTTTGATAAAGCCAAGTATCAGCTCTGGAAGGGGAGGCCCAAAGACAGAAGGATTATGCAAAACAGAGAACAGGACCCACAGCAGAAGCTTTTAGAGACTCCGTGGCACCCAGACACTTAGCTGGAGATCACTGCAGAAATAAATGGGTGGAGCATCTAGTCACCCTGGCCAGTGCTCAGGAGGTGAGAGAAAGGCTGAACTGTGCTCACTGCTGGCTGGTCAGAGTGCCAGGTAAACAAGGCCCTTGCACACAATGAAGAGGCCCTGAAGAGCAGCAGGCCAGATGTGGAGCACTGTTCCAGCTGCTGGTCTGAGCACTAGTTTCTCTGTTAATCTTGGTCGCGGCCCATTTTGCCTGTCAGCCGCCGTCTCTGAGTCTTAGTGGTTCGCCCCGTGCTGGATTTCTGGATTTTCTTGCGTGGGCCTTGCCCACGTTGGGGTCTCTTCCCTTTCGTCTTTTTCCGGCTGTGCATGTGCAGTGTGGCAGTAAGAGAAGAGATCCTGTGCAGGGCAGGAAGAGAGAAATGTTTGGGGAACAAAGTCTGCAGGAGCAAGGCGACACCACAACAATAGCAGGAGAGCCCTGTGTGGCCCAGTGGGAATGGATGCCAGCCATGGCAAGCCCCAGAGGAACTCCACTGTGCTGGGCATCATCCTGACAGGGCAGGAAACCTGCAAGTCTGCATGTGCAGTAACAACCAAAATGAATTTTCTGAGCAGTGGGCTGCCCAGCCACCACAGAGTTAAGTAACTCTCCGCATCCCCAAAGTAGTTGTAAATCCTGGATACTGAAAAATGTGGTGAATGTCAAAGCTTTAAGCTTTAGGGTCTTCTGACCTTCAATCCTAGAGACAAACCCTGCACCCTGCAATATAGCCTTCCCTGCAATATCTGCCGAGAAGAAGGACTAGGTAAACAGTTCAGGACAAAGCCCGCCCTGCACCGCATCCTCCTCTTTCTCTTCTTGCTGCTGCTGCTGTCACCAGGGATCAATGCCATGGAAATGGAGCGTTTGGGGCAGGCTTGTGCTCTGCCAGTGCCCTCTGCTGGCTCCTGCCCACCGGCACCCAGGCAGCACAGCATCCCCACCCTGCAACCACACTGCTGATCTGGGAACGCAAGATCCTCCTGATGAGCATGCACAGCCCAGCAGCAGAGAGTTGAATGAATTCATACATACTTTTCAGATAGGAAGGGGTTTCTGGACTTCTTGGGCATTGCTTTTATAGGCTTGTTCACCACCTCTTCCCCTTTCTCTTCTTCTGATCCATCACTTTTTCCCTTAAAAAGGAAGCAAAAAAGAGAAGAAAAATCCCTATAGACACATTAAAACAGGCAGTCTTGTGATTCCAGTGTTTCTGCTGCCTTCTTGGTTTCATCCTGTTTTGTAAACCACCTAGTCATGGATGAAGTCTTTTTTGATTCTCCACGTTCCTTGCTGTCCCAATCTCAAGGTTTCTTATTGCAGCCACTCAGAAAGGGACAACCAGCAAGAAGTCCTACAGTAATCCACCCTAAGATCTAAAGACTTCAGCATGATCTTAATGGCCAAGCAACTAAAGTCTAAAGTATGAATTAAAGGTTTCATCTTTTTTCTTAAATTACTATTAAAACCTTTTAAAGTGGCTTTTCAGATTAGATGACGACCTTGTAACTGTACAAGTTTAACTGCCAAACACAGGCACTTCCCCAAAGAGCTCAAATCCAGCCACAAGTCATGAAGATCAAAAGGATCAAGTCAACCAGTGCCTGAAAGCCTCTATGAAACAAATAAGAGATCTCAGTTACAATATGTTTTGAGAATAAAAGCAACCACAACCAGAACTGAATGGCTTCCTCATATGTGGTCCAAGCACAGGATCACGGAGAAAGAATTCCCTCCTCGTGCTGATAGTAATTTTTCCTGGACAGGACACAGGAAAAAGGTTGAGGATAGCCCATGCAGCAAAGTCTGAAATCTTGCTGCTTGTGTTGCATCGGCTTTTAAAATACATTCTCCCCATCCAGCCCTGTGATACCATTCACTTGCACAAGGTAAGCTGGGACTCACAAAGGATTCCAGGAAGGTTTGGAGTGAGCTATCCCCACATAGGACATTTCTTCCTCTTTAGAGGCCCAACATAAGTTGTGGAGGAATGTGAAAGTTACAAGTTTCCTTTTCATCCCTGCTCCCAGCCAGCTGCAAGTTTTTGGGCATATTCAGGGAGCACCAGGCCTACCTAGCCAGCCCTAAGCACGTTTATGGCCAATACAATCAGAGACGCAGCAAGAGGCTTTACCACAGGGTTGGTCAGTCCCAGCTGGCGTGCCCCTGAGAGGTCCAGGTCACTGATGGTGGTCACTGTTACAACGTGGTTTGGGTGGTCGATGTTCACAGACTCTGTCCGCGATGTCACCAAGTGCTCCAGTTCATCAGCCTCATCTGGGGAGACAAGAAATCCTGTGCTGCAAAGCGCCCAACTTTTCACAAGATACGCTCGCTTATTCCTGCAGTGCCACGCCGAGGAGGAGTAACCCTGCCTTTGCATGCAGGGTTAAAGCGCGGGGGGGCTTGAACATCGGCACTACAAGCATGAAGGGCAAGCGCCTTCTCCCAGCAGAGAGGAGCTGGTAACACCCTGGAGATGTCCTCCTGCTTGCTCCTTTCTGCACAACCCACCTGAGCCCCTGCGCCAGCGGGTGTCCCTGCTCAGATCCCTACCCAGCTTCCCAACGGGACACGGGAGGACCGAGGAGCTGACACTATGGGACGGTGTGTGAGCACCTCTGCTCTTATCACCCAGCCGGGGGAGTCGGACCACGGGCGCCCACCTCCCACCCCTCAGGCGGCCGCCCCGCCGCCGAAGGCCCAGCACGTACCGAGCGCCTCTTCCCTCTCGCTCAGCATCTTCAGGTACTCCTGGTGCCGCTGAGGGATGGAAACAGGTCACTGCGGCACCTTTGCCGCTCCAGCCGCCCACCCTCCACCCGGGACGGCCCCTTACCCCTAGCAAACGGGGCAGGGGAAGCCCGAAGACCCCTCCTGCCCGGCGGCCTTGGCCCCCGCGGCCTGCCCCCCGCTCATGGCGGGAGGGGTCGGACCCTTCTCCCGCGGAGGACCCAGGGGATGTTTGTAGGGATACCTCCTCCTTCATCTTCCTCTGCTCCTCCTTCAGCTTCCTCTTGATCTCCTCCAGCGCCGCCTTCCTCCGCTCCACCTTGCGCTTGTGGAAGCCGGTCAGGTACTCCCTGTCGCCGGCAACGCAGAAACAGACATCCCCCCCCCGCGGTTTTTAGTGACCCCCTTCACCGGGGAATGCCTCCCCACCCCCGGGGTAGGCCCTGGCCTCACCTCCGCCTCTCCTCGTCGAAAGTCACCACCAGCTTCCCCTCACGGCCGGCCGGCCCCTTCTTCTTCTTGCGCGCCATGGCGGTTCCACACAACTACTACCGCCGCCCGCCCGCCTCTTCCGCCGCCGCCCGGCCGTGAGGGGCGGCCCTCCTGCTCCGCCCGCCATTTTGTGCCACCCGCGCCTGGCCGGGCATAAGGGTGTTTTTTGGGGGGGAGGTTGGTTTCTTTATGAGGTCCTAAGCGGGAGGGTCTTGTCGGCTGAGCCGCTGTTGGGCTGAGGGTGGAGCGGCCCCAGGGTTTGGGGGAGCCCCGAGAATGGTGGGCTGCGGGGCGGGAGGGAGGGGATGGCTGTGCCGCTGCCTTGGCTGTGGGGCAGCTTGAAGGAGCGGAGTGAGGCAGACGTGGGGTCCTCGTGTCCCAGCGGTGTGTGGGAGCTGTGTGCGTTCCCTTTGCCCGCTTCTGGTGTGCTTTCTTTCCCCAGGTTGGGGCAGGAGAGAGAAGCCACCATCGTGGACCTCACAGGTGTCTCTTCCTGGCCCTAACACCCAGCCTGGGGTGGACAGGGGGTTTCTTCAGGCTCAGGTGCTTCCAGCTCCTGCTCCTCTTCAGCTCCCTCCAAGGAAAAGGCTCTAAGCCCACTGCCTTGTGCAGCCAGCGTAGCGCCCGATCTTTCACCCCGAGACCCACTCTGCTGCTTCTCTATGAGTATTTTTACATCAGCATCTCTTTAATAAAGGTCGCTCATCCAAATATCTAATGTCTGCATTTCTTCAGTAAAGGTCTGAGAGTTTATTTCAAGCTATCGTCATTGCTTGGTGTCAGTGGCACCTGAGCTGCTCCTCTTAGCTGGGGGAGGCAAGTGCCGGGACAGGTCTTGGCTCTGACACCGAGTCTCCAAGATGCAGGACCTGAAAGAACAGCCATGGTTTCTGTAGTTGATGGTGGAGAGGGGTACCAGTGTGAGTAGGTGGGGGCATCAGGACTGCCGTGGCGTCTGCTGGCTTGACCAGCTTTGGCTGAACTCTTGAACCTTTCTTGCCCTCCAGTCCTCGTGTTAAAAATGGGTGTCATGCTTGCATGGTGGCCAGCTGACTTTGGTGGAAGCACTGCGGGGGCAGCCAAACACCCCCCCCAGCACACAGAGCATGATGAGTCCTGACACAGCCTGGTGGCTGCTCATCCACATCCAGGGCCGCCTCGCCTTTATCAGCTCACTTGCTGCTTGTGCTCTTTTCCTGGCCTGTCCTTTCACCAGCAGAAATGCGGAAAAACCAGTTCTGTGGTTAATTGCTGCACTTCCCTCCACGCCCATGGGGCAGGTCTTCTTCTCCTCCTCCTCCTCCTCACTCACAGTCTGGGTGCGCTTCAGCCTCCAGCCTCTTTGCCCCTGCCTGCACTCAGCCAGCTCAGGTGCACCGTCAGGCCTCCTTCCATTAACCTTACAGCTTCTCCTGCCTTCCCCTTTTTCCTCCATCTGCCAGAGCTTCTGTCTCTCTGGTGGCTCCTTCTCCCTTGGGCAACCCAGTGGGTTGGCCTGCAGGTGCAGAAGGTGCAGGCGGCTGCCCTCCTGGCCCTGTCCTGCCCTGCCTGGAGGGATAACGTTGGAAGTGATGGCCGGAGGCAATGAGCGGAGCATGAAGGCCCTGAAGGAGGTGTGGAAAAGAGCGGAAAACTCTTTGTGCGCCGACTGCGGGAAGCCGGGTGAGTCCCTGAGGGCTGCTGGAGGAAGAGTTGGAAGCAGGGAGCTGGGGCTGGTCTCTAGCAGCTATTTAGTGCTGGCTGTCTGGACTGCACAGGAGCTTGGGGTGGAGAGAAAGGAGAGGCATTGCTCTGGGTATTTGCTTCCTCTCCCTGGAGGTGAGTTGGCAAGGGAGGAGGAAGGAGATGCCACAGCGCTGGTGGGAAGAAGGGCCGGGACGTGGTAGTGCCAGATGAGCAGGGGCTGTGTAGCTGCAGCTCTGTGGGTTGTAGTTGTGTCAGATCTCAAATACAAACCAAGGTCATGCCCAGTCAGGACCTGACAGGAAAGCTCCCGGTGAAACCCTAACTGCTCCAGAAAGAAGGCATGATTCAGGAGGGCATTGTCTCCTCCGTGACTCAGCTCTGAACTGACAACCTGCCACAGGCACCTTGGAGGTTTCTTTTACTGAAGGGCTTGCTCTCTCAAAAGGGTACCCAGTTTGAGGTCCTACAAGCGCTGCTAAAAACACCCATCGTACTCCTCCCAAAAGGGGCATGTGCAGCGTACCACCCAAGCCAAATGAAGACTGGGCTAATTAGTACCATTTTACCTTCTTAAATTCTCCCAGGAAAATTTTGAATTCAAGGCTGCTGAGCTAAATACTGTTGGGGATTTGCTGTGTTGCACTAAACAGCTCCTGGAATCTTTTCCCAGTGGTGGTTTCATTTTCATCGTGGGTGACCCTTTACACAAAGGGGAGTTTGCAGAGCACTTTGGAATTTCTCAAGATTCAGGTCAATAGAGATTCAGATGAAGTCATTGAAGCAGGGGAAATGAGGAACTAATAGCTATGCGTTTTCCTGACTGGCATCTGTACCTTGGGTGTTAATTAACCAGCATGGATGAAACAGTGGTCACCCAGCTCTCTGTCTCTCAGGACTACATTCTCAGTTGAGGCATATCTCCCAGGGGAATTTACCACTTCTAGTCATACCCTTTTTTATACTCTCAGATCCTGACTGGGCATCCTCTACTTTGGGTGTCTTTATATGCCTCAGCTGTTCAGGAATTCACCGCAACATCCCTAGCATCAGCAAAGTCAAATCCCTGAAGATGGACCACTGGGATGATGCTCAGGTGCAGGTGAGATCATTATTCCCACTATTATGTCAGGTGATTTGGGTCTAGGCCATACACTAACTGTCCTGGGAAAATCAGCCCTTTGTCCTCACAGAGTTGGAGATTTAATCTGATTTAATCTGTCCCTTTGCTACTCATGCTCTGGATACTCAAGTGGGGATAACTCCCCATAACCCACTGAGAGATGTAGAATGCACATGCCTTATGTATCTCCCCATGTCCTGTTGCTTTATGGCAAAGGCAGAGCTCTTGCAATGTATCTTGCCAAGGCTCAGGGTCTTTGTCACTCCAGATTACTCATTTCCCACTTGCCAGCACCATCCAGCCTCAATGTCTTCTCTTGGTTTCAGCAGTACGAGGGGAAAACCTGGGGCAATTCCATGCTCAGAGAAGTTTCCAGATATAATGTGATCTCTTGAGAAAAATGGCATTTATGGGAACTTGACTTCTCCCTGTTCCACACCCCTCAACCCATTAATCTTCAGAGGACTGAAAAAATTTTCTGGAGATCCAAAGAAAATAATCTGTATCTCGCTGCTCTTTGGAGAAGAGCAAAGAGGTTTGGAATGTCCTCCTAGACAGCATTGCAGAGCTGTTGTTGAACTCGGTCCCCCCTGAGCTGTGGGGCATGGCAGCAAATCCAGGGAATGTGTGTTCACCCAGCCCCGTGGAAGTGACATTTATGGCATTCTGTTGATTCAGGTGCAATCACTGTAACTTCTGAGAGTAGACAAGTCCTTTGAGACCCACTTTTCTTTAGCCAGACTTTGCTGGGATGTTGCAACAGAGGGGAAAGAGAATTCTCCATTAGAGCTTGATGTGCATCTAGCCCTGTAGTGGGTCAGGAAAGAAAAAGGTCCAACATGTGCCTGTATCAAAGGGAAGGCGCTAACTCTCTGTCTAACTCTGCAGTTTCTGGCCAAGCATGGGAATGCTGTGACTAAAGCCACATATGAAGCTCACATCCCTATTTACTATTACCAGCCAAACTACAATGACTGCCAGTAAGTTGCTGCATACAGAAGAAAAGGGGGAAGGGCGTTTCTGGGTTCTCCTAGTTCGTTTCTGAGCTACCTGTCACCTCTCTCCCTAGAGTGCTGAGAGAACAGTGGATACGGGCCAAATATGAACGCAAAGAGTTCACCGAGCTGGGAAAACACCTGCCGTATTCTGATGGTAAGAGCAGAGCACAGCATCAAAATATCCTGCCTGTTGCCTTGGCTGGAAGCTTTTGAGCACCATGAGTTTAAAGCTCATACTGTCAGTGTTGCAAATCCCACAAGTACTCCCAAGAACCCAGCTGGTACTTACAGGGCATTGTTTTGGGGGGGGTGTTAAATTGTGGGCAGCATAAGTTGGCACTGCCACGGGTTGCTTCCAAGCCTGGTATTACCGGCTGGCATTTTTCAAAGGCGTTTGCTGTCCTGGTGGAGCCAGACCTCTGCAGTAAGGAATTTCTGTCCTGCTGCATGCCACCCCCTCCAACCCTGGCAGTTGTCTTTGAAATGTCACTGCCAGTGCTGTGACACAAGGCGCTGGAGCCCAAGGGCCTGCAGAGTCAAGTGGGAAGAGTTCTGGTCCAACGCCAGGGTCTGCGTGGGCCAGGACTCTGGTGTTCACAGGAGAGATGGCTCTCACACTGTCAGAGGCAGTAATGGGAGCCAGACTAGGAGGTGGGAAGCATCTAGGAGTGTCTTCTGGTAACTGTTTATCTGGGCTGCAAACCTAGGAACACCACCACCTTCAGCTGTAAGTCAGAGGTGAGACATCTCCTTCTCAAGTGTTCTCAGCAATAGTCTATCATGTGCTTTATCCCAGAGGTGTGGCTGGGAACCCCAGGCTGCATGCAGCTCTCTGATGCCTACCATGCCTGTGGGGGGATGCTCTTAAACGTGGCCTTTCTGCTCCTAGGGGTGAAGGAAGGTATCCTCTGGAAGCGAGGTCGAGACAATGGGCAGTTCCTACCCCGCAAGTTCCTCTTGTCTGAGAGAGAGGGGTGTCTGAAGTATTTCACCAAGCAGGATGTGAGTATGGTGGTCAACTCCCACCTTGGAGTGTACTCCACCCAGGGCAGTGGGGTCACAAAGATGTTTCTATTTCCTATGCATGTTTCTGAGGTTGCCTTGCTCATCCCAGGCCAGGGATGATAACAAAACATGTCACTGAGGAGTGGGGTCCCCTTCCTACTGTCAGGGTGACATTTCCCCACATTCTCCCTTTGTGCTTCCCTACACCCCTCCCTCACTGCTGATAAAAGGGCTGATCTTTCACTTCACCCCTTATCTATTTGCCTGGCTGTGTAATCCTGCACCACCCCTGGAACCAACCTCATCCCACTGTGAGCCAAATTGGCAAAAACCTGTTGTTTGGTTTGTTTTGAGGAGGGCTACCTGTCTGCTAGTTCATCTCCCTGAAATGAATGCGGCAAGGGAGGAAATGGCTTGCGATAGGGAGGAGCAGGAGATGCCATCCAGAGAGACCTGGACAAGCTTGAAAAGAGGGCCCATGTAAACCTCATGAGGTTCAACAAGGCCAAGTGCAAGGTCCTGCATCTGGGTTGGGGCAACCCCTGGTATCAATACCGGCTGGGGGTTGAAGGGATTGAGAGCAGCCTTGTGGAGAAGGACTTGGGGGTACTGGTAGATGAAAAGCTGAACATGAGCTGGCAATGTGTGCTCGCAGCCCAGAAAGCCAACCTTATCCTGGGCTGCATCAAAAGAAGCGTGGCCAGCAGGTCAAGGGAGGGGATTCTCCCCCTCTACTCTGTTCTGGTGAGATCCCACCTGGATTACTGCATTCAGCTCTGGGGCCCCCAGCATAAGAAGGACATGAACCTGTTGGAGCAGGTCCAGAGGAAGGCTACAAAAATGATCAGTGGGTTGGAACATCTCTCCTATGAAGAAAGGCTGAGAGAGTTGAGCTTTTTCAGCCCAGAGAAGAGAAGGCTCTGGGGAGACCTTATTGCGGCCCTTCGGTACTTAAAGAGGGCTTATAAGAAAGATGGGGACAGACTTTTTAGCAGGGCCTGTTATGACAGGACAAGTGGTAATGGTTTTAAACTAAAAGAGGGTAGATCTAGACTAGATCGAAGGAAAACATTTTTTACAATGAGAGTGGTGAAACACTGGCACAGGTTGCCCAAAGAGGTGGTAGATGCCCCATCCCTGGAACCATTCCAGGTCAGGTTGGATGGGGCTCTGAGCAACGTGATCTGGTTGAAGATGTCCCTGCTTATTGCAGGAGGGTTGGACTAGATGACCTTTAAAGGTCCCTTCCAAACTATTCTATGGTTCTAGAAGTAGGCTCTTTCCTTTTGAGGTCAGTTAGCCTTTAGACTGGCTCAGCTGTAAAGTCAGATACACTCTCAGTGTTTCACTGGCAGTTCCAGGGTGGGCACAGCTCAAATCTAAATTGGAGGGACTGGGCCACTGGTTGGGCTTGAGCACGCCACACAGTGAAGGGAGTGTGTGCTACAACAGTTTTGTTGGGAAGGGGCAGTTATTACCTTTTAAAATCCTCTAACCCTGTCTTACCCCACTAAGTCAGTAGCTCAGGTCCTTTTCCCACTAGGATTGCTGACCAAGACCATTCTGTTTTCAGGCCAAAGAACCCAAAATCAATGTTAAAATAGATGTCATCAATGCTACGTTCCAGCCAGTGAAGATTGGGAACCCCAATGGCCTGCAGATCACCTATCTCAAAGACAACAAGACCCGGAATATATTTGTCTACCATGAAAGTGGAAAGGTATCTGGTTTTAGCATCAAACACTGCAAAGCACTGAGGTGATTTGAGAAGCTGCTAATGTTAAATAGTCTGAAGCATGGGTAGAATGGGGGGTGTGTGAGTTGCTGTAGGTAACAGTGGGGGTTCTGGCTCTGTGTTTGTGTGTCTGTGAGAGGGTTTTGCTGCAGGGAGCAGGGCAGGAGCACTGGCTGAGTTGGTTTGTGTGGGAGGAGCTGCCGTAGAAGATGTGCAGGTGTGCTGCCTGTGCATGTGGGGAATGGGGCAGCCGTGCTGGCTGTGTGTGTGTGAGGGAGATGCTGTAGGTGCAGTGTAGAGAGAGCTGGCTGTGTTTGTAGTAAACATAGGGTTGGGTGCAGCTGGGTGAATTTAGATGGCTCGCTGTTGCTCTGGCTAAGCTTTCTGTCCCATCCTTTTCTGTTCTCAGGAGGTAGTGGACTGGTTCAATGCCATTCGTTCTGTGCAGTTCCATTATCTGAAGGTAGCATTTCCCATTGCCAGCGATAATGAGGTAAGGCAGCACTAGAGCGCAGTGCTGAGTCTCCTGCCAGTACTCGGTTATGTGATAAAAGAGCTCATTAGTTACTATTAGAACCCCAGGTACAGAAGTGGAAATTGCAGTGTTTAGATAGAGGGATGACAAAACGTGTGTATAAGGGCCTGTGGTGGCCAGAGAACAACAGCTCTCTGCTGTTTCTGGGCTCTTTGAAGGCAGAAGTGACTCCAGGCTAGGCAGTTCTACAAACATTAATTTAAGAGGTGACTGAATTTGGGGGAATGGAAGGAAGGGGGGGGGGGCAAAAGCGAAGAAACATGGCTAAGTGAATGTTACTCTTGTCTTTTTGTCAGATTAAAAATCGGCTGACAAGAAACTTCCTGAAGGAGGGATACATGGAGAAGACTGGTCCCAAGGTGGGCTGCTGTGGGAGAAAAAAATCTAACAGGGACCTGCCAGAGAGCCACTGACCTTCCCTACTTCAATTTTTTTCTCCTGCTGTTTCCCCATTCCCCCCTGACTCTTTAGACACCCGTGGGAACAGTGTGTGTGCACCAAGGGAGGGGAGAATAAAAGGAAGGGGAAGGACATATGTGAAAGTAGATGAAGCCAGAGTCCCTGCTTTCTCCCAGAACAACAGATCTCTCTGCATGTGTCTGTGTGTGCGTGACCTTACAGGTATTTAGCGTCTAGATTTCTCCTGTCTCAACTCTGGGGTCCTTCACACAAGTCCAAGAGTTGGGGACAGCAGTTGGGGCTGAAAAACCTGATACTGATCCCCGCTCTCAGCTCAGAAAGGGCGAGGAGGAGGTTGCTGTTAAGGCAGGGGCTTGGTTCAAGCGGTTGGGATGAATTTTGGGTATCCATTCGCACTGCTCGCAGCAGAGGGCACTGTCCCCTTACATATGTCACCTCTTCCCTTCACAGCAGAGAGAGGCTTTTAAGAAGCGCTGGTTTACGCTGGATCACCGCAGGCTCATGTACTTCAAGGACCCTTTGGTGAGAGGGAGATCTGACGTCTGGCAGCCGCAGGCAGCAGTGCTGAGGGCAGGGTCAAAGTGCAACCAGAGTCTTTGCTCTGCAGTAAGGGGGTTTGCAGGTTCCCCAGCTGCTCTGAATAGACTCTAGGTCTTCCCCTTTCCATCCCACTTAGTTCATTGTGCACTTTCTGTGTTTGTTTCACTGCCTGCAAACAACAGGAACAGGGAGGGCAGTGGTGTAAAGGTGGTGGTGCAGAGGAGAGTGGCATGGGAGGTGACGTGGGGAGACAGGAGCAGCAGTTCTTCTCTCAGACCTCTCGAGACCTATGCTCTTAAATTTTCCTTTCTGCAGCTGCCTTTGAGCACAGCCTCCTTGCTCTTCTGAATACCCTGACCACTTTCAGATCTTTTTGCTGCTACATTCCTGGCCCTCACCCACTCTCCTCCTGTCCTTAGGTGCACTGCTATTATTCCCTGGTTCTTCTGGGGAATTCTGGCTTCTGTAAATCCCTCTCTTTCCCTCCTGATGTGCAGGATGCATTTGCTAAAGGTGAGGTATTTGTGGGCAGCAGAGAGAATGGATATAGCGTCCAGAAGGGATTGCCTTCGGGGACACAGGGCAACTTCTCTTGGCACTATGGCCTCACCATTGTCACCCCTGACCGGGAATACCTCTTCACCTGCGAGACAGAGACTGACCAGCTGGACTGGATCGCAGCCTTCACTAGCATCATCAACCAGGCCATGACACCACAGGAATATGCAAGTAAGTACCTGGATGCTGTTTCCTTCCCTTCCTGCCACTCCGGTTCAGGGTATTGCCCTAATGCACCACCTTTTTTCTTCACTACAGTTGAAGCCTACTTCAAGTTTAAATCCTAGGAAGCCGTGCAGGAACCTTGCTATGACTCGACTCTACCTGGACCTGTTGGGTGGGCTGTCAGGAGAGGAGACGAGATCGACGTCAGAGAAACACAGTGCTCTCGAAGCACCCCTTGAAGCACTTTTTTCCCCCATAGATGGTCCACTTTGTTCTGAGGGCCCAGTTAAGCTGCTTCCTTTCAAGTGCAAGACTTTGTGAGTGTGAAACCTTGGTGCAACCTGTCACTTAAATTGATCTGACTGGATGCTGGCAGGCCTTGCCTGTCAATTGGGCCTTGAAAACTTGGCACTTGCTGTGTTGGACATGGACCTAGCATTACTCCTGCATGAAACTGCAGACAGCCATCTGCCTTATGCAAGAAAAGAGCTGCCTGGCTGGAGCTACACCCCAGCAGGTTGCAGGGGCTGCTGGACTAGGAGAGACTGTTCCTTTACAAGAAATGGCTTCTCTGCTGGCGACAGAGATGTGAAACATCTAGATATTTGATCAGTTAGAGCTGTAGTTGAGAAAGGTCACTTAAAAGATGTAATCTAACAGCCAAATGTGAGGCCTGTTTCCTTCTGCTGTGTATGAGCTTGAAAGCTTCTTCAGACCTCATTTGTGTGGAGACCTTCCTCCAATTGCTGCAGAGAAGATTAAGAGATCCACTCAAAACCAGTGTGTAGGTATACACGTGTGTATGTGGATAATGTGTGTGTGTGTGTGCACGTGTAACAAAAAGTGGTGGGAGGTGGAATACTGTCATAGGGAAGATACTGTGAGGGATATTCATGCCATTGAAGTTCAGCTGTCAAATTTGAGTCTCTAGTCAAACCAATGGAGAGAGGTTGGGTCCTGCAGAGAGCAGCTTATGGCATGTCTGTTACAGAGTTCAGACTCTCTGTTGTCTTTATTAGAGCCTAGGAGTTGATGTCTGAAGATAATAATGCATGGTTCTCTACTCCCTCATTGTCTGTACGTCAAAGGCCTGGCACTTTCATTCTGCCCTGTACATTACATATGTTTATACTGTATATCACATATACATATAATTTTATGCAGTAGTGTAACAGGGAAGTTTGTATGTTCTTGTCCTTCTAGGAACAGTTAGCCCTAAGCGCTAAAGCAGGCTATGATTCATATCTTGAAGATCATTTCTTAAAGCTCTCCTGGGAGAGCTGTGTTTCACATGCTGGAAGGACCAGCTGAGTTCTGCTGCTGACTGTAGTATCTGATGTGTCTGCAGTTTTACGCAGGCAGTGTGAGAGTAGGCATCTCGTGTGTTAAGGGGAGCCAACTGGAATTAATGAGGCAAACAGTATTTTAATTAGCTCCTAAAGAAATTAATTTAAAAAATCCCATTGTAATTTATTTTAACTTCCTAAACGAACTGAGCTGCTAACTGCTAAGGTATGAGGTTGTTTCTTGAAAAAAAAAAGCACTGACAATCACAGCAAAGAGCCATGGCTATTCATTGCATTTCCTGGGGCATGTGGACTGTGAATCTTCCCATCAGAGCCAAACAGGCAAAGTCATGGTTCCCCTCTGCTTCTCTGGGGATGCCTCTCTGTGCTGAGACCACCACAACCTGTTGGGAGCATTGACTTCCTGGATGAGAAGCAGCGTCACTCATTCTGCTGCCGTGGCCTGATGGAGCTTTCCACCCAAAAGTCTATTTTCACTGCAGTTTGCTGATCTCTCCCAGTCTGGAGCACAACTGTCCTAAAAACTGAAGGCCATTGTAAAGCTTGTGTTCCAAAACAAAGTGCCTATAAGTTCCGGTAACATGAAATGTGGTAGTCTATTAGAAAACCTTAAGCCCCATCTAAACAACCTGCACATTCAGTTCTGTGTGAAAAAGAGTAGAGAGCGTGACCCAGATGTGCCAGGAGCTAATACAGATAATCCAGAGGGAGGCCTCTGAAGTTCCCTCCAACAATGCCATATGTGCCATATGCCCGCTTCTGTGGCATGGTCATGCTGAAGCTGATGCTGTTGCATGCAGCACATTGCTCGGGAGGGTGCTTGATCCTACTGCAGTGAGGGCAGTACCCATGAGATGCTTCCTTCTCCTGTTTGCTGTTGAGTTATTGCTGCTGGAGATGAGTGGAGGCTTTTGACTCAGCCACAACGAAGCTAATAATACACTGATGATGCAAAAAAGCATGGCTGGAGTGGCCTGAAAACCCCTGTGAACTAACAGCAGAGCACATTTAGTAATGGCACGTCTGTCTCTGCTCTGCAAATTCTGTCCTACCGTGTCAGTTCCCTGAGACCGATGAGGCTGGGATGTGGGAGATGAAAGAGCAAGGTAGCGTTGGGTGCAGAAGTGTGGGGACATAGGTGTCATGCAGTGATGCCCCGCTAGAAGGCAATGGTGCCTGCTTAACAGGCTTTTGCTCCCCTTCTCTGAGGTGAGGCAGCAGGTCCTGGGGGTTTGAGGGAGGGAGGGGGAAAGCTTAAAGAAGGAGGATGGTCTTTGGGGAGAGGGAGGAAAGAGTGAGTCTAAAATATCCAGCCCTTTGAGTGTCTAGGAGCTTGCTGCTGACCAGGGGACAAGGGTAGAAGAGGCCCAGGTCATAGAAAATGTGAGTTCTCCTACCATCTGATGGATTTGCAAACTGGGGGCTACATCCATTGTCTACACCTCAAGGGGCCCTGGTGTCCTTGGAAGGGAGTGGGGGACAGACCTCTCAGCCCAGCTTGGCTAAGGGCCGAGGAGAGCAGCGTGGCAGCTCCCTGACTATTGCACTTTCAGGGCTGGCCCTTGTTTCCCTTCTAAAGCCACAGTGCGATGCTTTTTCCTGCCTTGCCACATTAGGGAGTCTTGTCTTTCAGTCGTCTCCTCTGTCAAATGAGGACAACTGTGCAAGGGGAAATGGGAAAAAGAAAAGGAAACAAGAACAAGAAGGAAGAGGGAGCAGGAGGAAGGTGCAGGAAGACATGGGGGAAGAAAGACTGTGTCTGCAAGAGAAGAGAGCCAGTAGGGCTCCTCAGCTAGTGGCTAAAAGCCCAGTATAAACTGGGACTGCATTCGCACCGGTGTGTGAAGCTGTGAGTCAGACACATTCCTCCGTGCAGTGGGCAAGGCAACTACTCAGGGGTTGGTTCAGGGGGGCAGAGCCCACCTCTCCAGAGTCTGTCTGAGCTGAGAGGACACAGACTCGGGAGGAGAAATCCACTTGTCCACCAAGTCTGCTGGTTTCCCTGCGCCCAGTGAATGCTGGAGAAGCAACAAATGAGGAGCCGGTGAAGAGCAGAGACATTTCCTCCTGGCTGGCAGAGGTTATTTTGCACCTATTGTTCTTGAAGGGGAGGGCAGCGTCCGTTTCTCAGCCCTTTGATGATTAAGGGAAACCACTAGACAGAGCTTGTGATGGACAAGATCAGCAAAATGGACTGGGCGGCTGGAGGTGAGAAATAGACTTCTTTGGAGTACCTATGCCTGATGAACTCTTTCCATTTTCCCTTCCCTCGGCTGCTTTCCTGTTAAGGCTAAGTGTGCCCCACACAGCGAGAGGGGGAAGGAACAGGTATCTGACAGCCTGACTTGCTCTTGCTCGCCCTACCCAAAGATGTCTTATGACCCTTTCTTCATCAGCGCAAGGCCTGGAGAGGATCTTGAGGCTAGCAGTTTCTTGGAGGAAGGCAGCGGTGGGGGTGACGACAGTAGTGTCCTGGGAGGGGACAGCCCGGTCACAGGGCCGCTGGGTGCCGTGCTGCTGGCCATGTGCCTCACTGGGATGGTGGGGAACATCTACACGGTGGTAGTGGCCTCCGGCAGGGTGGCGGGCTACTCAGCGGGCTCCTTGGGGGTCTACGTGATCAACCTTGCCCTGGCTGACCTCCTGTACCTCTCCACCATCCCCTTCGTGGTCTGCACCTACTTCGCCCATGACTGGTTCTTCGGCGACGTGGGCTGCAGGCTTTTGCTCAGCCTGGACCTCCTCACCATGCATGCCAGCATCTTCCTCCTGACGGCCATGAGCCTGGAGAGGTACTGGGCAGTGGCCAGGCCATTGCGGGCCAGGCGGGCCACCAACGCTTACCGCAAGCTGGCCAGCGCCGTCCTCTGGCTCCTCTCGCTCCTGCTAACGGCCCCCATGATGGTGATGACCCAGCTGCGGGAGGAGGATGGCCCCCACAAGCGTCTCTGCATCCCCACCTGGACGCCGGCGGCCTTCCGGGTCTATCTGACGGTGCTTTTCACCACCAGCATCCTGGCACCCGGCGTGGTGCTGGGGGTCGTCTACACCCGCTTGGCCCAAGCGTACCGGTCCTCCGCTTGGGGTCTGGGGCTGCCGGCGGCCGGCCGGGCCCCCACCCGGCGGCTTTTCTCCAGGATCTCCGCCATCGTGGTGGCCTATTGGGCTTGCTTCCTCCCCTTCTGGGCCTGGCAGCTGGCCGGGCTGTACCGGGGCGAGGGGCTGGGCATCGGACCCCCTGCCCAAGCTTACCTCAACTTTGGCGTTACCTGCCTGGCCTACGGCAATAGCTGCGTCAACCCCTTCCTCTACACCTTGCTTGCCGGTACCTACCGCCGGCGCCCCAACCACAGCAGGATGGGCACGGCACGGCCCCCGGCATCCTCCCGGCAGGCTGTGGGTGGCCCGGTGGGAGACCACAGCTTCTCTCCGGCTTCTGGGGAGTTGTTGGGGTCTGTGGGAAAAAGTGAGGGGTGAGCAGTGCCCCCAGGTTGGGAATATCTCCCAGCTTTTGGCTGGGGTCGAGGTGAGAAATAAAAATGGATCACTTCCCGTGCAGCGTCTTCCATTGTTGTTGCGGTGCCTTCTCCTTCATGCCCTTTGCAAGGCTGCTAACCCTCCTCAAGTTGGGGGAGGACGCTTGTCCCAGGGATCCTGACCCTATCCTCAGGTCCTTCAGCCCTCACACACCAGCCTCCGCCTTGCGCAAGGCTGGGGAGTAGGTGAAAGGGAGCAGTCAGCCTCCATACGTGTAAATTATACAGCTGGGGAACCCTCGCCACCCCTCACCTCCTCGCTAGCAATGGGCCAAGCCATAATAAAGTCAGGGTAACAGTGAGTCACAGATTTCACAGGACCAGTGAGTCACTTCAAGAAGCAGCCACGCTAGCAGGAGATCTGAATGAGGTTCATCCTCTTGTGGTAAAGCTCACACTCATCTTTCTTCCCCCACCCTCCACAAAAGAAATCTTTGAAGAGTCTTTCTAAAAAAAAAAAGACTCCCAAGTGTGGTTAAGAGACATTGTGAGACTGCCCCGAAGTACAGCTTGGGGACGTCAGCACATTTGCTCAGCTTTCAAGATCAGCCCAGCAGAGGAAGCTGCGAGGAGAGACCTCCACTATGTGCCCATCATCACAGCTCAGGGAGGGGGCCTTCACCAGCACCATGTCCCTGCTGTGGCTGAGGAAATCCCCAACTCCCTGGCCTACCGAATGTAGCCCAGTCTGCCAGACTGTGTCAACACCACTGCATAAACTGGGCCAGGTCTCTCACCTTGAGGCCATCTAGCCTAGCATGGCTCACTTTCATACAGCTAAATTCTCTTCTCATCCCCAGAAAGGATGGCCTTATCGATATCACCCCATGGGAGGAGTCCCCAGGCTACGCTGTACCCCACCCATGCCTATGCACAGGGTGGCAATGTTAGATGTCGTGTATACTATTATAGATGTAGCCCTAAAGAGCAGGCGATCATCCAGAGCAGACTGGCTTTGGGCAACACAGGGCTTCAAGAGAGATCCAGCTGCAGAGCCTCAAGTTGCTTGTACACCCCAAGTGTTCCTGCCTTCCAGCTCAAAAGCCCATCTTGAGCCTTTGTCTCCAACTCGTCTCTTTCTTCCTCCTCAGCCCCCCAGTTCCTAGCAGCTGAGCCTCCCTCTGCATGAGCACCTGAGACACAGGACCTGGCAGAGCCTCATGAATTATGGAGCAAGAACAGGAGGTGCTGCTGCCGTAGGAGCAAGTTCCCACGTTCCAGCTGCTCTGCAACTGCTTAATAGGAGGAATCAGCCCAGCCAGGCCTGCAGGGAGTCCTTGTAGGACATCAGATTGTTTGTGCTTCATGTCCCTCATGGCCAAGCCTGGAAGCGAGGACCCAAAGATTGAGTCCTTCCATCCCGGGCCTACCTGGTAACTACTGTGCACTGTGGAAAGGGCAGCTCCCACCTTTCCTATGCCCACCAGGCACAGCCTGCCCAACAGCAGTAGTCATTGCTGCAGAATTAGCATTAGTGGCCAGCCGACACCTTGGGTAACAACCCACAGCCCAGTGAGAACTATGCTGTAACATCAAACATGCCTCATCATCTCCAGACTCCTCAGAGGCTAGCCTCAGTTTAGACTGAAAAGTGCTCAGGCTTGTTTGGGCTAATACGAGTAAAGGAATAAAAAAAAAAAACATAGCAGACACATCCTTAGCATCCCACACCCCAGCTGGAAGAAAGGATTTGGATGAGGAGCCCACTGCATGCTCCACCACAGCCAGCAAGGCATCCTTTCCTACTGCTGTCCCCATGCAGCAGCAAGAGGTCCCAAGACAACGTAGGAGAGCTGTGTCATGAGTAGGACCAGCCTCTACAGAGGGGTGCAGGCCAAAGCTAGCACAATTGAGGACTCTCCCCTCACCCCATGCCCCACTAGATTTACCTAGCACAGCAACTCAAGGCTCTCTGAGGTCAGCTGGGGATGCTTGGTTCAGGGAGAAATAGATTTAATCAACCCATTTTACTCAGGCAGGGTCAGGTGTCAGTCTAGACCTCAAGAGTGGGTGACTCTGCCTAAGGGACCCTTCCACTCTCCCCTCTAGTCACATCTAGCCCCAGTGTTTCGTCCTGAGACTCTTGGGCTTTTTACCTCTTGCCTTCCCAGCCTTTTGACACTCACCCTCGTCTCCATCCATGACTTTAAGGGCCAAGGCTGGTACAATCCCACCCACACATGGTACTCAAGCAAAGTTGGCTACCCTCCTCCCCCCACCCCTCCAGCAAGGTGACCAACCCATGTGGACTTGGCAGTATGAAACAGATTAGATTCTGAGACTGGGTAGACCAAAACTCTTATTTATTGATTGCTTTTTCTGCATCTTTGATATGGAGGTGCCAGAGGAAGTTATTCCCAGCTGATGGACTGGAGTGTGAAGTCCCCTTGTGCATCAAAGTAGTCAAAGACAGAGAGACCAAGCCGGTTAGGGAACGTGAACTGGTGCCCTGGCAGGTGGACTGTCAGATCATTTTGGTTGACGCTGAAAGTGATCTGCAAGACAAATGGAAAAGTCAGAGAAAGTTTCTGCCAAGATACCCTCGAGCCTTTCCCCTCCACAGCATTGCTGTGCCACCCTTCACTTTGCAGGGTGAACACGCTCAGCAGCGCAACCTGCTCTTCAACAGCAGGAGTATTATTCTAGCCTCCCAGGAGATGCCTGTTCCCTGCTCAGTTCAACAGTAACATCCCTTTGAGCTAGATGGAGCTTGCATGTTTGATCCCCACCATCCATCACTGCTCAGAGCCCTGGGTGGTGGCACTGGCTGAGCAGGAGAAGCCAGCCACCTCCCGTAGAGACAGCCCCTGCAGTTGGGTGCCCTGTGCCAAACACCCTCCCTTTGCCAGGGCACGTACAGAGAGTGCATCCCAGGCCTCACCTCTACTGGACTCCCCTTCTGGAAAGGGAAGACAGTCTCCCTGTGCTCTGCACCCCACTCTTCCACCTTCTTTGAGTTGCACACAATGGTGTTCACATCACCGTGAGCATCAAATCGGGGGTTGAAGTGAAGCCCAAGGTTGGAAGCATCCTTCCCCAGATTCATAACAAAGCTGCAGAGAAAGAAGACATCAATACTATGGCAGCATGTTGCTCATTACCATGAGCATCTCTGGGTCTTTTGCTCCAAGCCCAGCTGAGGGTAACCAAAGAGAAACCCTTTGCTAAACTGCACAGCTTCCCTAAAAAGATGGTGCTGCATCAGTAAGGGGTACTCCCCTCTGCTGGGGTGATAGGTCCCACAGTGCCATCCCTGGGAGAGACACCACTTAGTTTCCACAAAGCTTTTAACAAGAGAAAGGTTCAGCACTTAGAGCCCTGAGCAGGGAGTTATCCTGCACCCAAACCAGCTCCCAAGGAGTCAGTTGCTTTCCACAGATTTCCTTTCAGCCCCAAACAGTTAGCTGGTGCTGCATTCTGCCCAACAGCCACTGCCTTCTCCCCACCCTGCAGGCAGCTGAAATAATTACCATGTCATTAGCTGTCCCAAAGCATCTGCCATGGCAGTGGGAGGAAGCAGCTTCCCAGCCCAGTGTCCACCTTGCCTCCAGGCCTCTTACCCAGGTGAGTACAGAGGAAGCATATTATTTGGCAAGAGAAAGCCCAGGAGGCTTCACTCCAACACTATCAAACTTCAAAGGCACTGGGAAGAGCTGGGACATGTTTCCTGGAACACCACTAGTGCTGGTACAGCAGCTACGGGCTCCACCTTACCCACCAAGAGCCCCCACCAGCTGCAGACCTGCACAAGGGCCAGGGGCTGCTGAGGCTTCCCTGGGGATCCCAGCCACCCCGATCCCTGCACATTTAAGAGCACATTTCCACTTAAGCCCACCAGCTTCCCTCCTTCCTTCCCTGCCAGCATGAGAGGCATCTCCACTGGGTAAAAGCAAACTTCAACACCCTAAGAGCCGCTGCTGCAACACACAGCCTTTCCATTCGCACCATCAGCTGGAGCTGTGGCTCAGAGCATCCATGGAGCCAGAGCAACCCAAGACCTCCCAGCTGCTTGGGCCATAATCTCCTCCTGCCCATATTCATGCAGGGAAGAGGATGTAGCTGTGGGGCCAGTCTCAACCCAAAGCTCAGTATAGACACAGCTTCCATTTCCTTTACTCTGCACTAGAGAGGATGTGGTCACTGCCAGTGCACACAGCTGGAGCTTCACATCTGCTTCGGCTTAGCCCCTTGGCACTCGTATGTCTGCAACGTGCGTTAGGCAGTGACTCACAGGGAAGTGCTGCTGATGTTAACTCCTTCCAAATCTGCTCCTCTCCGATTCAAGGGAGGGATTCTTTCTGTCCCCCACCAGCAGAAGACAACTCGGTGTGGTGCCTTGGCAGCACAGCACAGCTTACCTCTTGGCACTTGGTGCAATTTTCCCCTTGACGGTGAGGCGCTGGCCAGGCTTGAGACCCAGGTTGGTGCATACCGGTCCCTGGGGAACATGGAAGCAGAGACATTAGCTCAGTCCTTGCTGGCTCACTTGCTCTGCCTTGGCAGCTCTCCTTGCAAGACAGTGCATCGCTTTGGATAGTTGGAGAGACAGGGAAGCTCCCTTCCCCCAGGGCATTGCACCAGGGACATCCCAGAGAAGTTACTCCAGTCACATGGGACATGTGCCCAATTTCACAACCTTTCTCCTGCTGCTCTCATCAACATATCTGTATTTCACAGCAGTGAAACATAAATACCTGCAAGCTCCCATCGCACCCACCCTGTCCCGAACATACCTGTGGGCCTTCTGGGTCTCGTATCGTCCCACACAAGCTTGGCTGTGCAGGGATGGAACCTCCACTCCCTTCTCCTGGCTTGGATTTGAACTTCAAGCCTCACCCAGGTCCGGGGGCTCAGACACTTTGCTCCCCAGCTCCTAAGGGCTTGGTTGTTTTTCTTGTAGGCTCAGCCTTTGCAAGAGCATTCTCCTGCTCCATGTACACA